AGAGAGAGAGAGAGAGAGAGAGAGAGAGAGAGAGAGAGAGAGAGAGAGAGATACGCACCGGCGAACAGGTAGGTCTCCAACCCCGCGCCTGGCCTCACGCTATTTCCATCGATAGGATGAGCAAAATCGAATTGCCTGTTGGCCGGTGCGTTGCTCATTCTATCGATGGAAAACTCTCTCTCTCTCTCTCTCTCTCTCTCTCTCTCTCTCGGCTAGCCACGTGGCGGGCCATTTTTCTTTTGTTTTTTTCATAGGAGATGGCTATGGCAGGATCTTTGTCACGTTGTTTGGTGGAGGAGGAGCGGGAGGAGGAGCGGGAGGAGCGGGAGGAGTGGGAGGAGCGGGAGGAGGGATGGGAAAAGGAGCGGGAAAAGGAGGAGCGGGAGCAGGTGCAGGAGAAGGAGCGGGAGGGGAAATGCGAAGGGGCGGAGGAGCCGCGGGAGGAGGAGCTGGAGTAGGAGGAGCGGCAGGGGAAACGGGAAGGGGGTTAGGAGCGGGAGAAGGAGCACGAGGAGAAACGGGAAGGGGCGGAGGAGGCGCGGGAGGAGGGGCGGTAGAAGGAGCGGAAGGGGGAGCAGGAGCAGAAACGGGGAGGGGGTTAACGAACGCGCGGGAGGCGGAGGAGGGGGAGGAGATATAGGTCGAGGAGGAGAAGCGGGAGGAGCACGAGGACGAGATGGAGGAGTGGCAGGAGTAACGGGGGGAAGAGCAGGGGAAGCAGTGGGAGAAGGAGAAGCAGCAGGGGGGAGAGCTGGAGAAGAAGGAGGAGGAGAGGGAGGAGCAGCAGGAGAACGAGCGGGAGTGGGGCTATGGAGGGATCTTTGTCACGTTGTTTGGCGGAGGAGCGGGAGGGGGAGGAGGACGAGGAGGAGTGGGACGAGCGGGAGAAGGAGCAAGAGGAGGCGTGGGAGAAGGAGCGGGGAAGCAGCCGGAGCGGGCCTATGGTGCGGGAAGAGGAGCGGGAGGAGGGGGAGGAGGAATGGGGGGGAAAGCAGGAGAAGCAGCGGAAGGAGGACGAGCAGCAGGGGGAGCGGGAGGAGCAGCAACAGAGGGAGCGGGAGAAGGAGAGGGAGGAGGAGTTGGAGAAGGAGAGGGAGGAGGAGTTGGAGAAGGAGAGGGAGGAGGACCGGGAGAAGGAGCGGGAGCGGAGCTATGGCGGGATCTTTGTCATGTTGTTTGGTGGAGGAGCGGGAGGAGGAGGAGGAGCGGGAGGAGGAGCGGGAGGAGGAGTGGGAGAAGGAGGGGGAGAAGGAGGGGGAGGGG